TAACCTCAAAAGTCAACACGAATCGATTATATCTAAAATAAATCTCATGTCTCACAAATTTTTTTAAATTAATTCTTTTTAGCAATCATAATTTTCCACAAAATGGCCAAAAGCTCAAATAATGTATAATAATTTAAATTAAATTCAATTAAATATTAAAAAAAATTAACTCATGTTAAAAATAGAAAAAATAAAATATTAAGAGTTAAGCTCAAACTTCTCATAATTAATCCAAAAATGAATTATTTCTCAAAATTAGCTAATAATCTAAATAATATCTCATAAAACCAAATTAGTCCCAAAATCATCATCAAAATACATAGAAAAGATGGGATAAAATATATAAAATTTATGATTCATCAACTACCACCTTATCTCGTCCTTTCTCAAGGACCGAACTCCATACATAATGCCTAACTCACTAGGTCAAAAGTAAGCAAGTTGAAAAGATAAAGTGTCACTTATGAATCAATGAGAGCATATCACATGATATATTTATTTTTTGAACAATAAGTCTCCCAGATAACCTCTCACAATAGAACAAGTCATACACATATGATGTCCAAACAAATATGAATTCCACACAGTATTACATAATTCCAAATATGAAAATTCCATACCAAACATAATTATATATATATATATATTACTAACTAGAAATTTATTTCAAAAAAAATAATTATACATTTCTAAAGCACATATTTTCCAAACAATGTTTAATTTAAACAAAACACACAACTAATCATACAACACACATCACATACAATACAGTAGTAAAAGTTACCCTTGCTCCTAGCAATTAAATATCCCTGTTTACACAGCTCTTCACCTAATGATCACAATATTACAATCAAGACAAACATAATGAACACCTGTGATTTAACACTAATCATAAATGTTAGGCTAATTAATTTCATTAACCCAACACCCTTCCATACACTTTAAACCTTGAAACTTAATCATCTCTATTGTTAGTGCACTTCTAATACACTCATTTAATCTCTCATTAACATAATTAACTTCTTGGAAGCCTTAATTTCATATTTAATAAATTTAAAAATTCTAGGGCTTGCTTCAAGTCACAAATTATTATCTTAGTATTGATAAACATTTTTCTAAACCCAAATAAACTCATAATCATCACAAGGAAGCATTAATTTTCTCTAAACTTTATTTTCTATAAAAATCCCAATTCACTACCACAAATAAATTTTTCCATCCCAATTACATTTTTATAGTTCAATAGCCTCATTTTACTTATCAAAGCTCCTAAGCAATAATAATTTTTTAATTAGTTGGTGGGCCAAGGCCCACGTGCCATATTTAAGTCGGGAATAAGGGTCGGGTTTAGAGGGCCGGGCTTGAAAATCCTGTTTAAATAAGGGTTTGAGCTTTAAAATAAATTTTATTTTAAAGTAATTGGGCTTGAGGGCTTAGCCCTGATAAGCCTTGTAAAATAAGGCTCAGGCCCGGTGGCCTTTCAAACCCTATTATATTATTATTTTTTTTAATGGAACACGTGTTTGAACTAATGACCTACTCACCTGATCTTATACGCATTATATTATTTTTAATTTTAATTTATTCTAAAATTAATTTAATATAATTTAATAAATATCAGTGTATAGTATCAAATTTATGATATTTTTATTTTTCGATAATTATTATGCTTGTGTATTTATAAAAAATAAACTATTTTTTAATCAAGATTTAAATTTTATTACTAGACTTCTAAATGTGTATTCTTTAATTTCTAAAAAATTATGAGGAATTTAATTTTTTAATTTCAAAATATTTTAATTAATTTATAATATTTAATTTAATTTTAATTTTTTTTATTTTTTGAAAAAAGGCTTGCAGGCCTGACCTTGAGCCCTAAGCATAAGAGCCGGGCTTGAAAAAAGACGTTCAAAATAGAGAATCGGGCTTTAGGGCTCGACCCATAAGGGCCAGGCCCTAAAGGGTCGGGCTCGCCCGTATTCCTAACTCTAGCCACATTGACTCTTGCCCACCTTCACATCAATTATTTGTTTCATTCTAATGTTGATTTATTTATTTATTTATTAACTTTCTCCACTTTTATAATCTATTATTTTTACCTTTCAAAATCCTTTTTCATTATTTTTATAATTACTCAAATATTTAAAATCTAAGTCCTTTTAATAAATTATCCTTAAATAATTAGATAATAAATTTTAACTATCACCAAAACAATTCAATTAAATTCAAATTCAATGCTAGTAAAAATTTACTACCTTTAATTTTCTACTTCTTTGTAAGAATATATTTAGAATTAATTTATCTTGATTAAAATTTCCCCAATTTTCATTAAACTAAAATTCTGAGCGCAAACGTTAGTTTACTTAATAAATTATATCTTAATATTATTTAAATTCTGAGTAAAAAATGAGATATTACAATTACGGAATCAAATCTCACAGCATATACGATGACGTTGGTAGGTAATATAAAAATATCTCTTTAAGTATTCTTTGATTTTTGAAGCATGCCCTCTCTTAACAATCCCCGGATCTCAACTCACCTAAGTTCATTCATACAAAAAAAAAGTATTACAAGGCAATAATAAAATTTTGAAATTAAAAAAATGCAAGAAAGAAAGGTTGAAAAGGAGACTAGAAGAAGCAACACAGTACACGCGCGTGATAAAATTTTATCCTCCAATCAATCAATCAATTGATCGATCAATCAATCAACTAATCAATTTATTAAAAATTAAATAATCAAAAATTAATTACATGCTGAGCATCTAAGGTTGTTTGTTTTGGCTTATTTCTTAAAAAAATCACTTTTTTTTAAAGAATCTATTTTATGAATTTTTATGACTTTTGTTTAAATTTTTAAAAACAATTTGAATCCCAAAAAAAGTATATTTTTGATTATTTTAAGAAGCTATTTTGAGTAGGTTTTAAAAATAATCCAATGCAGTGAAGAAAAAGAGTGTTTTAAAGAGGCGAGATGCGCGAATATATCATAAAATTTTAAAATAACCAATTAACAATCATTTTTAATTATTTTAACCAAATATAAAATAATGTTTACTGTTTTAAAAAATTTATAAAATAAATTTTATTTTATAAAATCTCTAAACTACTTAAAAATTACTTATTTTTTAATTTTAAACAAACGACCCCTAAAAATGCTCAAGAAGCTTTATGAAAAGTGCATAATGCGATTCAATTATTGTTCCTTTTTTTCTGTCAAGAAAAGAGACATTCATCAAGCCACCAAAGTTACAGTGTAAGAACAATAAATAAAAAAAAGAGATAAACAACAAATTTAGGGATTACGGGTTTGAAAACCAAGCCTAAACAGGCACTATCCCTTTAACAAATATAGAAGGATTTGGATCAGAGTGGCATATATCTATTTACTCAATAACTATGCCACATGACGTGATAATAATCATTTAATTAAATCAAATGGTTGTTAGAGATTTTATCATATAATATTTAAAAATAATCAAATCTCAAATTTTTTAAAGGTGTAGCATATGTGAGTAGTGTTTTTATTGTGACTATTGTTTTGAGTTTTTATAAAAAAAAATTATCTTGATAATTTTCAAGTATTGATAAAAATTCAATGGCTATTGAGTAAATTTAAGACACCATATGCAAATCTAATTCAGAAAGCTAGTAAAAAGCAATATGGGAAGAGTGAATCTAGTGCGTAGTGCATGTGCTTTGGATGAGAACTAGTATGGTGAACAATTCATTGAGGATGGCGAGTTGTTAGATCATTATTAATAATAAAAATAATGTATTATGGATTCAATCAAATAAACCTAAGTTATTTACCTATTATATGTCCATAATATATATATATATATAATTATTTTATTTAAATTTAAATATGCATTTATTTTTAGCCTATACAACAAACAAATATTGAGGTTTGTAAATGCAATAAGTGTTGAGTAATCATGAAATTTTATGAAAAGGATGACAAAATCCCCCCTAATTCCTCACAAATACAATTGATGGAATATAATAAAATTTTAGATAATGTTATAATGATAATTCTAAGTCAATCGATATGTGTAGAGAAAATGGCACAATAATAGACTCAGGGGAGTAAAAATAGTTTATATATATATATATATATATTAAGTCATTTCACTTAGAAATTTGATCATTAAATTGTAAAGAAAATGACATATAACTTGGTGTTTAGTCCGAGTGAGAGATGTGTCTCTCTAAAACCATTAAGGTTTTGGAAACCTCTAAGGTTTTTCCTCTCCTTCTTAGTGAGAATCTCTCCACTAATATTTAAAATAAATTTGATTAGAATTAGTTTACGATGAAGAATTTGAAATACTCTCACATTGAACATTTTTGAGTTAAAGGGCAAAAATATTCTAAAACTTTTCTAAGGACATTTGGTATCCTAAATATTTTTTAGAGTATTTTTACTCTGAAAGTTTTAAAAATAGAGTATTTTTATCCTACTATTAAACATTCCTAACGTTGATCATTAAACTCAAGTTTGACTAAAAATATTTTTGTATTTTTTTTTCTTTCCTTCCTTCTATGTTTAGTTTTTGATTTCATCTTCTAGTGAATTCTTTAACTTTACTACTTCCAACAGATGAAAACGAGTACTGAAAAACACAAAAACAAAGGAAGGCAAAATCAAAAGTACTCTGGTCAAACTTTAGTTAATAGTCAATGTTAGGAATTTTTAACAGTGGGACAAAAATACTATGTTTTTGAAACTTTTAGGGCAAAAATGCTCCAATAAAAAGTTTAAAATGCTAGATGTTTTTGAAAAAAAATTTCAAAATATTTTTGCCATTTAATCTAATATTTTTTTCTCGTCCTTTAACAATGGACCCCACTTTTTTGAAACCTATTGCAACACTTTTTTTCTTGATTGATTGCCCTTTTCAAGTCACCTTAAAATTGCATCCTCAGCCCAGTAATACTACAAATATTGGAGACTTGAGTATTTAAATATATTGGAACCTTTGATTGCTAGTGAACTCCGACCTCTTATGGCTGAAACCACCACCACTTCGTTCACAAAAAACCAAGCAAATGTTGAGCTGGAAAATGAGGCTTACGATGAAGAGTATGAAAAGCTTAGCCAAGAATGTAAAGCACTGCTTCTTTCTCTTCCTAGAGAGAAGGGTTCGATTAACCCATATCTCTATTTATACAAAGACTTTTGGGTTCCAACAAATCGAATCCAACCGATATGCTACTTCCAAAAGCACTTCCAAGCGAGAGATGATGATGTTGTTCTAGCCAGCTTACAAAAATCTGGAACAACATGGTTGAAAGCCCTTACTTTTGCCATTGTTAATCGCAAGGTATTCTCTCCTTCACAAAATAACCATCCTTTACTTGTTTCCAATGCGCATGAGCTAGTTCAATCCTTTGAGTTCAATTATTATGTAGATAACCAAAATCCTGATCTCTCCAATTTGCCTAAACCAAGACTTTTTAGTACCCATGTTCCATTTCATGTATTGTCGGACTCAATTATCAAATCCAAATGCAAGATAATTTATATATGTCGTAATCCATTTGATAATTTTGTGTCATTTTGGCATTTTGCCAACAAAGTCAAAGCACCATCTTTGCCCAAATTATCATGTGAGGAAGCATTTGACAGGTACTCAAAAGGGATTTATCAGTTTGGCCCATTTTGGATAAATATGTTGGGTTATTGGAGAGAAAGCAAACAGTCTCCGAACAAGATTCTGTTTTTAAGGTATGAGAATTTGAAAGGAGATATCAAATTCTACTTGAAAAGAATGGCTGAGTTCTTGAACTGCCCATTCAATTCAGAGGAGGAAAGGGATGGTGTTATTGAAAACATAATTGAGCTCTGCAGCTTTCAAAAGATGAAGGACTTGGAAGTGAACAAGATTGAAAAAATAGGCCTTAGGATTGAAAAGAAGGATTTCTTTAGGAAAGGTGAAGTGGGTGATTGGGTTAATCATTTATCTCCATGGATGATAGAGAAATTGTCCAAAGTAATGGAAGAGAAGTTGGGTAGTTCTGGACTGTCCTTTCAATTTCAGATCTCTTAATCCAGCAATAATTTCTACATGCATCCAATATGGATTACTGTAATGTAATAGTTCATAAAATAGAGACTTCAGGGTTATGTACATGGCATATGCAATAATGTAATGTAACTGTGCCGTATTTTTTTTAAGTTTGCTATTTTCTGGTATAACTGCCGAATTTTTCTTTTTCTTCATCTAAAATTTTGATTATTCCAAAATATTCTAGATCTAAATTGGCAGAAAAGTTCTAGTGGATGCTGGATAGAATAAAGCAAGTAAATGCTATGTTTGTATCCGATCTCATCGTACAACGATGATTAATAAGTTAATGGACTAAATTTTATATATTGACATTCCATTTAGTCATATTTATAAGGTAAAGAAAGAAAAGTTTTTTAGTCCTATTCATAAGTTATCTTATGAAATTTTAATTATAATTTTTTTTATTTAACCTCCAATAAATGTTGGAGAGAGAAAATATATTGTTAAAGTGTATATATATATACACACACACATATAATGGGAGCAAGTTGAAAAATTATTTAATTTTTAAACAAAGTTAATGAGTTTTAAATTTTTTTTATTATAATAAAACATGTTAGAAGTGTCTTATAAATAATACTTGCATTCACTCTTCAACCATAATTTTAAATAAATAATTAAAATTAACAGTTCTCGTACATCCAGATAAATGCTATTTTTGATTTTCTTGACAAATGCAGACTAATTTTTAAACTAGCACAAATATATTGGAAAAATTATCTCAAAAATTTCAAATATTGAATATTAACCAATTAAGTGAAATTATTTAGAGTAAAATACAATGACTTCCTTTCTTTTTTTAAAAAAAATTACAATGCCTCCCCTCTACTTAACTTTAGTCTAATTTTTAATAATGTTAGAAATATTCTGTTAAATATTCTAAAATATTTAATTTTTTATGTTCATTTTTGTTGATAAATTTAAAATTATTATTTTCCCCTTATAATCTAATTGTCTACTCTCTTATCCAATTTAAAAAGTTTAGATAATTAAGTTTTTTGATATTTATTTAAAATTTTGTGCTAAAATTATTTAAATTTTTTGAAAAAGTAAATATATATTATTATATTGAGTAAATAATTATAATAATCCTAATTCGTTAATTTTTTTTATGAGATCATTTGGCGTTTTTAACTTCGTGTTTGAAATATTATTTTAGCTAATTTATATATTTAGATTTTCGAAAATGTTACTAAATAAATATTTCTAAATAACTAAAAAATTTAAAATTTAAATAAAACAAAAAAATATATATGTATTAATTTTTTGGTTAATCTAAATGATTTGTAAACATTTATATTTATAGAAAGGGTATCTCGATTCAATATATATAATTTAACGGTAGACTAATGGTTAGATAGATGGAAATGAAATCTTAAAAATAAAGGGGTCATTTCTGTTTTGTAATTATTTATACTATGATGTGTTCAAATAGGTTTCATATATTAAAAAAAAAACTATACTCCCTCCGTTAAAAAATGTAAGGTATTTTTTAAAGAGTTGGATGTTTAAAAATATAAATTATTTTTAGTCTTTTAAAGTATAATCATTATATTTTTTTCAAAAATACCTCATCAATAATGACTTTATATTTATTTTAGGTTGTTTAATAGAGGTAAATATAAAAGATAAGATTAGTTAAAAAGTAAGTAATTACTTTATTGGGGTGAGATTCGGTTAAAAATAACTTATATTTTTGAATTAAGGTAAAGCAAATGAGACATTAAAGTATTTTACTCAATTATTTATTCACTAAAAATTAGTTTACTTACTAATAGTCTCAATAACAACAAATTTGTTATAGTTTATTGAATAAACCAGTTAAATTTAGTAATGTTTTTCTTTATTTAGGCCTTTTTTTTTAATATAAACCTGTTTTTGGCCAAATTTTTAATATAAACTGAAACAGACTACAACCAGAACATTGCCGAGGTCTGAAACAGCAAAATAGTAACAAACTAGCCTACTCCTCTATCATGATTATCCACCCCTTGTAAAAAGAGACAAAAAGTAGTATCTAAATTGTGAGAAAATTTGGCAAGAGAATCTGCAACAGTGTTAGCTTCGCTAGCTATAGCACAGATTGATTGTGGTAGTCCAATCTCTCTGATATGGGGATCAAGCTTACCAATAACGTCTCGCGAGGGGTGGGTCCCCTTCATCCAGCTTCAAAATGATGTTAATTGCTTTGCCACGGTCCATGAAAGCACTGATATTCCGAAAGCCTGTACCCCAGCAAATGCTTAGCCCTTGGATAAGACCGATAATTTCAGCAACTGTAGTGGCACAGAAGACAACATGCGGCTGAAACCAATAATTCGACCAAGTCAAGTTTATTCAAATCTAGTCCAATTTAACAAGATTTATTTAAATTAGGTTAAAGGTATTCTATTTTTTTTAGGGTAGGTTTGGACTAACTCATTAAGTTTGACTAAAATTATTAACTTTATATGTATATAAAGTTATAAATTTTAATGGTCAAGCTTATTCAAGTCAGGTTTAATTAGGGCCGAGCTACTCGTATTAGAATTGAAGCATTCTACTTCTTTAAAAAAGCTCATATAACAAAACTTGACCTTGACTTTCTTTAAATTGGCTCGTCAAACTTGACCCAAATAACTAACTCTTCATTAACAGAAAAATGATAGTTAGGTTTCAAAATAGTAAATTAATATCAATTAAATCCTCAATAATTTTTTTATAAAATGAATTATAAATATCAATTCAAACAGTAACAAATAAAAATTTCTATTACAATATCTAAAAGTTACATTTGATATTTAAATATTTATCTGTAATTGAAACTCCTAAATCTATAATAATTTGGATTGATATTTTTAACTTACATTTCAAAAAACATTATCGAGAATTTAACTGATATTAATTCGACCCAACTGTCATTTTGAGCATTCAGTAAAATAAAATTTTGATCACCCGTTAATTAATTATTAATTAAAGAGGTTAAATAATCAAAAAGCAACTAAAAATTGAGCATCTAATAATGTCCAGGACGCTTCGCATAATGCGATTCAATTAATCAAGCTAGCAATGTTACAGTATAAGAACAATGAATGAAAGAAGAGCTAAACAACAAATTTAGGGACTCCGGTTTTGAAAACCAAACTTAAACAGGTACCATCCCCTTAATAAATACTCGTCCTTCATATTTTTTTAATAGTTTGATATTAAAAAATATAAAATATTTTGAATCTTTTAAGACGTGATCATTATCTTTTTTTAAGTTCCCCTGTTAAATATATTACTTTATATTTTTTAAGATAAAATACTTCATTAAATAGGGGTAAATATGAAAAGATGGGTTAGTTTAAAGATAAGTAGTTACTTTATTAAGAGATGATATTCGGTTAAAATACCTTATATTTTTTAACGGAGGGAGTACTCAGCTACTCCAATGCTAGATATGTCACAACATTCAAAAGGATTTGGATCTGAGTAGCATATATCTATTCACTCAATATATATCTCACATGACATGATAATAATTGTTCAATTAGATGGAATGAGTATAAGAAATTTTGTCACATGATACTTAAAAATCATCCAATCTCAAAATTTTTAAGGATATAACATATGTGAGTTTTTATTGTGAGTATTATTTCAAAATTTTAGAGAAAATTGTTCTATGATAATTTTTAAATATTGATAAAATTCAATAGTTTCACAAAATAGAGGCTTCAGGTTTATATATGCAATCATGTAATGTAACTATGCCGTGTTTTTAAGTAAAAATACGTAAAACTTCTCTAAATTTTGAAGTAATTGCATATTACATTTCACCTTTAAACATTTATAATTAAACCTTTAATTTTGTTTTTCAAAACACTACTATTAATTATATTTTTTTTCTAAGAGTTAAAATTTCATTTAACTAAAAAGTGCTATTAAACAAAATATTGTATTGTAAAACTATGACTAATCAATTTTTTATATTGTTTGAATAGTTATAGTATTAATAGCCAAAAAAGTGTCATCATCACCGTATAGAATTTTAAATATTTACTTTTATATTACTTTTATTATTTTTTATTATCAATAGTTTGTAGTTTTTTTTGTGTTAAAGGAAAAATTACTCTAACCTAGAATATTTAAAATTTTAAATATTTTAACCATGTACATTATATTAGTCTAACCTAGAAATATAAATGAAGATTTATCCGTTAAAACAATAGAACTATGCCCTATTGATAACAAAAAGACATAGATACAGCTAATATAATGTAAATATTTAAAAATGTATATAGTAAAAATAACATTTTTTTAGCTATCAATACCTTAACTATCCAAAAAATATAAGAAATTGATTATAAATATCTCTACAAGATAATACTTTTATTTAATAATATTTTTTAATTAAATGATATTTTAACCCTTATAACATAATTAACAATAGGGGCTTTGAAGAACAAAATTAAAGATTAAGGGTTAATTTTAATTTTTCAAAGATGAAGGACGTTATATGCAACTATCTCAAAGTTCAAGGACTTTTTTTATACATTTAAGCCTTTTTTTATTTTTTAAGTTTGCTATTTTGTGGTTTAACTGCCGTACTATAGATATCCATTTTTTTCTTTGTATTTTTATTTAAAAATAATAAATAAATAATAATTTGAATGTATGACACCAAGGAGGAAACTATTATTAACATTATATTTTTCTTTAAAGAAAAAAACCAATTACTCCAGCAAGGCGTACTCATTAGAGTTTAGAGACACTCCCGAGCTCACAAGAACGTAATAGTACACTCCGCATTACTAGACAAAATTAAACAGTTTTTTACAAAGTATATAATATCTAGTAATACTGAATTAAATTCGACTGTATTTTAGAACTTATTCCTCCATCTCTATATATAAGAAATTTTTTAAAGCATTTTTTTATCTTTGAATGAATGAATCATTATACCTTTATTAAATTGAAAAGAGAACAAAATAAATACTCTTATTAATTTACTTTGAAAAAAAAATTTATTTTTTATTTATAATAATTAGGGAAAATTTGAAAAGTTGCTATCTTTTAATAAGATAATTAACTTTTATTATTTTGTATAATTCAATTTAAAATATCTTATATATAAAACGGAGGGAGTATATGCTTTGCACAAAATCTTAGAACATCCATACTATTAATCACCCCTCATATATGTTGATATTGATGATGGGAAACTCAGTCAACTAAGTGGAAAAAAATACTCATTTTAATTTATCCCTTTCCAATTACAC